GTCTACTTTTCCATTAACTAGCCACAGAAATTAGAATTCCTATTTATAATGATCAGATTCACTCTATTAGGTATCAAAGCATGTTCCTTTGAATCAGTGCAGCAGCTTAGTGTAATGTACACACACACACACACACACACACACAAATCCAATGCAGCACAGTTATCTATAAGAGTGAAATTATGCTGATCCCAAACTGGTGTGGAAAATAGTTCTACCATATATGGAATTCCCAAACCTCCATTTCTCTTCCCATTCAGCATTATCAGATATTTACGTCTTCAAGAGAGAAAGCGCAGAATAGAATGGGTAACTCTCACATGTGGTTCTCAGGTTGTCAGGCCCACTATCAAATTTCTCTTCACAGTTTATGTAACTGTTGTTTCACCACCCACCCCTGCCTTTCCAGCAGTTTTGAGTATTTTCTGGTGATCACTGAATGGCATGATATTGTAATTGGTGTCATTCAATGGTATGACTTCTTTAGACAGAAAATGGTGAGTTGTCTGTCAGAGCTCAGGGTAAATGTACACATGTTGCTGGCATTTACCAGGAGTAGCTGGAGACAGCCTTTTCCATGTTCTCTTCTTTATGTTGTGATCTTAGGTTTGTTACTCTTCCCCTTTATTGTCTTCAGTGTCCCTCCCTATAACGGTAACCTCACAGAGCTTTTGAGCAAATGTGAGGAATCTGAGTGAGCAGACCAGGCACAGAATATCATTGGAAGGTGCTGATGGGGGAGGAAACTGCAGATTTCTTGCTCTCATTCTTATGTTAATTTGCACCCAGCCAAGGTCTAGATCCATTACAGAAGCACTAAACAGGGTTTAAGAGTAATTTCAAAAGTGTTCCCTGGACCTGACCTTGTCTAAGGTCATATGCTCCTGCTCTCTGGTTATGTCTTTCTGGCTGCAGCATAAAGACTTGGTAGTAATCACAGAATCCAAGAAAAAAAAGCCTCATTTGCAGGAGCTGGGAAATAAAATGCCCTGTTCCCATCACCTCACCATGTGTTTCTGGCTGGAACATCAGCCAGTTTCTGCCAGCCAACGTCTTTTTCTCCAACAGTGAAAACTTTCATCCGCCACTTCATCTGCCTCTGTTGGACACTCGAGCTTCAGCTAGTCGACTCAGCCATGACTGCCATCGTCTGAAACTCACACTCTGACGTCAGCCCTCAGGGAACAAAATTTCTGTGTTTCTGCAGATTCAACCTTCAGATCAAGCCAAAGACACGCTTCCTAAGTCAGAATGCCAAGAGGGCTGCCTTCCAGAGCCTCTTCCCCTGCTCAGAGCCTCTGAGACAAAGTCCTTTTCATTATTTCTGGCTTTGATCAGTTTCTTTAAACTTTCTTTCCAGTTTCTGATCTTGATTATTCTCTTTTCATTTTATAGACCTTTTTTTTTTTCACACTTTCTTAACCATCCCACCCCCAGGACTCAATTATTTCTACTTTTCTTTGTTTTCTGTCAATGATTTTTAGAATATACAACCTGTGCATTAAAAAAAATCAATATTTACTTAAATGCACACAAAAGAGCTCTTATTTATAGTAGGATGAAATACAAAAGTAATTAAATGTCATGATATAATGGAGATTGATCACACTATGGACTGGAAACCAGAAAGCTAGCTCATCATTTTGGCTATATCACTTCTACTTATGTGACCTTGGGCAAATCAATTTCACAGACCCTCTAACTCTTTATTTGTAATATGGCCTGTAATTCACATCCTGGTTAAATGTTTTATAATTTTAAAGATCTGTACTGCAAAATTAATTTGATCAAGCCAACCATATGTTCTCTAGTTAAAACATATTATGCTAAATCAAAGGAAACACTACTTTCGACTAAGGCACATATTTTATCACTCACCCAAGGTACTTGCATATGAGCAAAACTATGCCTACCTCTGGACTTTTGTGTATAGGTTAACTATTGCTACAATAATGTTGTAGAATAATCACCCATTTCAGTGGCATATAACAATATTTAATTTATGCCCCTTTGAGGTAGGCTGGAAACTGGTTGATCTAAATTGATCATGGCTTGGGTGGTTCTACTCTTCTTCATGAGTCTCTCATCTTCGTGGAGATAGCAGGCTAGTCTGAAAATGTTCTCATAATAAGGCAGAGAATAAGAGAATAAGTCCAATCATTTGAGCACTGTCCAAACCTTGGGAAGATCATGTCCATGATATTCCATTGCCCAAAGTAAATTGCAGGCCAAGCCAGAAGTCAAGGGGAGCTCATGATGCATGTGGATAAGAAAGTGAATTGTTTTGAACAACAATCTAATACCTTGTGCTCTGGAACTGAGTGATGAAAATGCTTGTGTATGGCTTCTTCTCAGTGAAGTAAAAGCAGTGATGAAGACATGCAGAAACTTTAGGGGACAGAGTCTACTCTTGCTTCTTTTCATCCTGTGGAACATAAATAAATACACTTCTGGAGAGGAGTTGCTGGTTTTGAGACAGACTTTATAAACTTGCTTGCATACAATTTTAAGTTGCAGGCAAAACTGTCACTGTAGTCAAATGAGGGAGATCAAGATCATGGCACTGCATGAAAAGCATCCAGAGCCCCTCTAATTTGTAGGTTTGTGAACAATTCCCTGGAACCACTCACCAAATATTCCTCCATGGGGGAGCCCCTGCTCACGCTAATCAAGTTGGAGATGATTTTGCAAATGCTGACCTGGACTTATTTATAAAAGCAAAAGATGTTGGTTATGAGTTAATGCAAAAACACTGTGAGACACCTGTTATTGAACAGATTGAAAATCTCATGACTTATGTTGTACTTATGGATGTAAAACTGTCTATCCCTTTACTGAAATAATCTAAACATCCTTCAACTTGTCCATTTTTTGCCCCAAACCTCCACTTGTTTTCAGGTCTCCTAATTAAACAGTAAAATAAATCACAATAATTACACATTACTGGTAATGAAGTTGTATTAAATAAGAATAACTACATATGAAGCAACAGTCGTATATTATGAAGTTAGTCTATTTATTTCTTGAGAACTAATGAGAAATTGAGAGTAATTAAAGAAGGCAAACATTAATTTATTTTTCCATTTATTGAGCTGTATTAATTATCCGTTACTGTGTAATATATTATATGCAAACTTAATGGTGTTAATTGGCAGTATTTATTATCTCACATAGTGTCTGTGGATCAGGAATGCGGAGGAGGCTTAGCTGGATGGTTCTGATTGCATGAGATCCCAGTCAAAGATCAACTGAGGTTGCAGTTGTCTGAAGACTTGAGTAGGGCTGGAAGAGCTGCTTCCAAGATGACTCACTCACATAGCTGGCTAGTTGATACTTGCTGTCAGCAGGACTTGGTTCCTTCACAGGTGAACTTCTCAATAGGGTTGCTTGAATGCCCTCACAACATGGCAACTGGCTTCTTCCAGAACAAGTGGTCAAAGAGAGATCAAGGCAGAAGCTACTATATATTTTATGACCTAGCCTTAGAAGTCACACTCTGGTAATTTCTACAGCATTTTATTGGTTATACCAGGCCTGGGACTGGGACTCACTCACAAGATTGTGTAAGTGTATGACCCTGAGTGTGACTGTGTCCTTAAATTTTATACCCTTGCTGCCTTGTTTGCTTTAATCTAATCCTGACTAGCTGTGCAAATTAGCAGTATTCAGTGTCAGAGGAGACTATATAAGAGACAAGAATCATGGGGGACAACCTGGAGGTTGGCCACCATAAGAGTTAAGCACTTAACCCAGATTCTAACCAAAGGGAAGGGACTTCCATTAGTTCAGAAGTTCTCAACTTTTAGTTGAATACTTGAATCATCTGGGAGTGCTTATACCCGACCCTAACTTGACAGAGATTCTGATTTAATTGATCAGGAGAGACAGCCATGATATCAAAAAGGGTTTCCAGGTTATTCTCATGTATAGTAAGAGATAAATACACTGAAAATAAAATAAAGGTTTTTTTTTTGAGACTGAAGTGCACACAGAATTTAGTATTGTATCTACCAGCAACATCTGTTCTTCCCTCCTGGGGCAGGGTGTGTGGCAAGGTTTAGGGGGACAAGGGGCACCAGTAATTTATTCACTCTTAAACTGTTGCTGAACACAGAGCTGGTCAGGCTGACTAGCTGGTCTTTCCCCTAGTTGTGTTTGAGCTGTTTTATCAAAGATTGCTAGGAGCAGGATTAACTCATCAATGCTAGTTTGAATTGAGACTCTTTATTTGTTTCAAGACATATCAAAATAAGCACATTGAATGGACAAGAAAGTCCCCAAATGAATAAGAGGATAATGGGAATTAAATGAGTCAGATTGGGGTTAGGATCTCTGTTTATTTATGTAATAGTTTGCCAATGGTTTGGCACACACACATAAATCTGAGAACGGGATCACTCTTAGCTCATACAACTTTAGAAGCCACTTAAGGGTTGTATCTACTAGGCTAATTGGTTGCTGGCTAGCTATCTCTCTGATCCTTCCTCATCTCATGGGGCAGGATCCTGGGCTGAATGTACTGGGAAGAAAGGTGAAGGAGGATGGGAACTGGGGTTCTGATACAGGATATTCTGTTTTCCACCAGTGAAAATAAACAGCAGAATTTCAATATGAAGACAAGTTGCACTTTCCTATTATTTGGAACTTGTGCTAGCACTTTCACATTATCTTGTAATTTTCCTAGGAAATGCAACAAACCTCAGAGATTATCATGATTTAGGCAAACAGTTTAGACTATTGGCAGATGCCCAAAGAGAAAAAGATCTGTTAGGGACATATGCTTGAAACCATTGTTGTCACCTCTATAAGATAATTGAAATAAAAATAGAAACACTGCAAGTATTCTCTTTGTTGTTTTTATTTCTTTTTATTGTTGAAAGTATTATAGCTGTCCCCCTTTTTTCCCCATTGACCCTCCTTCCCACTCCCACCCCCCTCCTGCCTTCCCCAGCCTAGTGTCCTTGTAGACTGGTTGTGCATATATGCATACAAGTTCTTTGGTTTATTTCTTCCCACCCTTCCCATCCCTATCCCTCTGAGGACTACAAGTATTTTTTAATGGCAGCAGCCTAATTTTCACTTCTTACATAAGCAGGAACATCCCTACAGACCTAATTGGGTGTCAGCATAACATATCCTCTCATTCTTTAAAGGTCCATGCAGATGAAAGGGGATGAGTTGCTGGGAAAATAGGTCATTCTCTTATGACATCCATTTCTGTTGCAGTAGAGGCTTGGCTAGAGGGCAATATTTAATAAAGCAAAATATCTACCTTCTCAATAGGATTCTAGCAGAGTTCCATTATATGGCAAAGTCTCAGAGGACTGGAGTGTTTCCATCTCATGACAGGGCAGATCACTGCCACTGGACTCTTGAATGCAAGTGTACTTGACAGGCGGTGGAGGTGGCTTGAAAGGTGGGGGTCTTTCCATGCTAGGAACAAAACATTACTTTTTCAATGCTAAGATTGTGAGGGGTGATTGAAAGCTATATATATGTATACACACACACACACACACACACACACACACACACACATATATATACAAAAATGTTCCTTTAAAGGAAGAAACAGAGAAAGAGAAAAAGGCAGAACCTACTAGCTCTCAGAATTTTCTTGGTATAACCACTTGTTAGTTTTATCATGATAATATCATTAATTGATATTTATATGGTAAATATAAATAAAGAAGCACTTATTAAGTTTGGTAATTAAATAGGGTAATTTTATAGTTTGCAAAGTGTCTTTCTTATAACATTATTTAATTTGTATCTAGAAATTGAATATTACTGTCACCATTCCACAGATAAAAATGAGGCACAAAGGTTTTCAGCATCTTGCGCAACAGAACTAGACCAGCAATTCAAGTCTTTTAACCAAAAGCAACATTCTCTGTGGCAACTTCTTCCTATTAGAAGTGCTTCTCTTATGTGGGTTAAAACATTTCTCCAGAGACAAAATTTCAAAATTCTGTCACGAAAGACTGAAGCTTTTCAAATAGCCCCTTTTACCAACCATACCTTCGAGCCTTAACCCACACACTAACTGTGCTGTGAGGACCTGGCTGAGGTGGGAAGCCCCCGAGTTGGTTGGTACTGGATAGATAATGCCAGAATCCCTTCTCTTTAAACCAGTGGACATTCTGAATGTCATCTTTGCATAAAATACCGTTCTCTGTTAGCACAACTCATCTCTTGTCTGAAATGCGTCAAGCATACAGATGAGTGTGGGATTTAGCTGTACAAATTCTCCAGCCCTTTTGATGCTAGCAAACAGAAATCTATCTGTGAGCAGATTTATGTCCATGACTCAAACACCTGCACCTCTTGACCCCTTGTCTGTCAATCCATAGTATTTTAACTTCTCCAGATCTCCCCGCCCCCCGGTTATTTCTCATCTCTATAACACAGACACTTGACTACAGAACAACAGAAAAGTAATTTCAGATTTTCAAAGTCCCATTTTCTCATTCTATCATATAAATTTCCAATGCTTATTACCTGGTTTTCTGATGTTTTAATGGAGACAATAGTTAGGAAAATGTAGATAAAATTCTAAGAAATTTGCACTTCCATTTTTTTTTCCAGCGAAATTATGAATTTCTCAAGGTTTATATGATGGCCAAAGTGTAGTACTTGGATAAAAATCACAATTTCTGACTACTGGTTTAGTGTTTTATTCACCACGAAACACTCCCTGAACGTGGTTACAGATAGAGTCTTCAAGGAAGACTCAGAGAAGTAGAAGAAAGTATTGCACAACGGTCAGTGCTATCAAAGACAGTAGTTGTAAGATCCATAAAAAATCAGCCTTATGTATTATGAGGCTCTCCTCTAATCATGGCCTAATGTGGACTGATGCAAAATAGCCACGTCAGCCCTGACCAGTTATACTCAGTGGTTAGAGCATCGGCCTGCGGTCCAGAGAGACCCGGGTTCGGTTCTCACTAGGGGCATGTACCTCAGTAGCAGTTTGTCCCCAGCCCTGGTTGGGTTGTGCGGGTGGCAGCCACTCTGTGTGTCCCTTTCACATCGATGTTTCTCTCTCTCTTCCTCTCTCTCCCTCCTACTCTATCTGAACAAAAAATGGAAAAATGTTCTCAGGTGAGGATAAAAAAACAAAACCAAAAACAAAATAGCCACTTCAGGAAAGTGAAGCGTAACCTTACATTTCATTTCAGATTGTGGATTGGAGGGAGAAGGGTTCCAGAAAATATTTCAATAAGACAAAAAAGGGGTAACCAACTGCTTACTTTTTTTTCCTTTTGGGGAAAAAGGTAAAGGGCAGTAAAAGCTCATTCAGCTGAAAAGCAGCTAGAAATTCCTTAAATTACCTTTCTCACTCAATTTCACACTTGAGTATCTAGGCACTGCTAAACCCAGGCAGTTCAGAGATGCATGAAAATGAAAAAATAATGAAGATTAAAAGAAAAATCATTTTCAATTTTGAGGTAAGGGGAAGCTCAGTTTTTATTTCATGCCCACTGACTTGTTCCATCTGCTGAGTGTGTTCCAGCCAGAGCAGGCCGAGGGGATACTGAGTCAGAAGTTGTGTATCTAATCCCAACTGCGTGGTGCTAAGAAAGCTATACCGCTTCTCTCAGCCCTACTTCCTCAGTTAAATATGACAGGGACTCAATATAGAAATGTGCTGAGTGAATAATGCATATTGAAAAAGCATCTTTTTCTGCACATCTTAGCATTACACTCACATTTCTTGTAGATATTGACACCATTTTCTCACTCCGAGACCAAACAATACCAGGCAGAAAAAGAGCAAAGCTGCTACAATCACTGGCCAGGACATTCCCTCTTTGGGTTTATTAACCACAATACCTGAAAAGGGCATAAAGAGAGAGAAATTTTAATGCCACACTTTGGCCACGGGAAACCAGAATTAATTGAACTATGTCTGCTACCTGACACATATTTTATTCAAGGGCCGTGGGTGCTCCTGGACTGTAGTCATGCTTCGGAATCTTGCCTATGCTCTAGTCTCACTTCTCGTTTGACATTTTATGCAACTGCATTTTCACATGAATGTTTTTCTTGTTCATATGTTCCACAAATAATATTTTCTTTCAATTTCCCAAGGCCCTGGACAATTCCTAACATGTGGTACCCAATTAAATGTTATTTGTAGGAATGAATAAACCAAAAGGATAATCTGTAAATTTGTATTATCAATTTACTCCATTAAAGAAAACTTTATCTGTGAAACAATGGTCTAGCTTTGGATTTTCTTATTTCTGAAGGAGTCATTAAATGCTTTGTGGAAGCATGTGTGATAGGAGGAGGAAAAAAAGTAAAAGGCCTTATGACATTCCCAAGTCCTTTGGGCTTTGGGCCAAAGCTGAGAAGGCCTGGCCAATACCTATGGAGTTGTAGTGCTGCAAAGACTGTGTTCCAAGTATTCCCATTTGAATATCACTCAAGGAATCATATTCAGATTAGAGATTTTCTTATCCTTTTCTATCCCCCTTCCCCCCTTTTTAAATCCCCATATCCATTTCATGAATAGAAAGGGGAGAATGGACAAAAAGGATAACAATAAAACCAGTTGGTTTTGCTGTTTCTGTGGTCTGAAAAGGGAGAAAGTTGAAAGTTAAGACCTGGCTAAAATTATATTGGTGAGTAATCAATGGGCTGATTTTTCTTATCTTGCTGACCATTCCCATACTCAACTCATTCATGAACTTTTAAACATTTGAATATTAAGTTAAACTATATGAATCAAAGATATTCAAATATTATGGATTCTAGACCAAGAACAAAATAAATATCATACTCTGGATCGTTTTACTTTTTTAGTAAATGAGGTTGCCTGCTTCTAATTGGTAGTAAATACAAGTATTTCCTTTTGAAAAAGTAATTTGTGATTGTGTTAAAAATTCAAACAACACAAATGTAAAACTACAATGAAAAGTAGTGCCCTTACTACTTCAGGTACCAATTACCCACAATAGAGGCAATAACTTTCAATAGTTAATTATGTATCCTACCCCAATTTTTCTATGCATTTCTAAACATATATATGTATCATGAATATATATTCCTTTTATTACAAATGGGGGCATACTGTACATACTGTTCTCTCTGCCCCTGGCTTCTTTCTCTTAAAAAAAGTTCTTGGAATACTTTTGAAAGTGCATTGAGATTTACCTCATCCAATTAAACTCCTGGCTAGTTCCCCAATGTATGGATCTACCATAATTTATTTAATTGGTCTCTTAATGTTAGGTGGTTAAATTGTTTCCAGGCTTTTGTTGTCTCTAACAACACTCCAGCAAAATCCTCATACATTACAGATAGATCTTTAGATCTTTAAATTGTATGGACCATTTGGGCAAAAAGTGCATTTTTATGTCAGAATGATCTGGATTAGTTTTCTTCTATTGTTTCAACTAGATTATAAACTGCTTATAGGAGGAGACCAGGTTTTTAATTTCTCTTATTGCCTAGATTTATTACACCGTTTTTCATGCAGCATAGTCTCAACAACAACAAAAAGATACAGGCTGAAAAAACTAGATTTAAAATATTAGGCACCAAGTCTTTTCTATGTTTTACATCATTTGGACTGCAGCCACATTATGCTGTGTTAACATTAGTTATCAATATGAAAGACTTTTCCTTTTACAACACACATCCAAGGATTCGAGGTCTTCCTGCTCACCCTACCTCAGCCCTATCAAAATAGAGAGTGAGGATACCCTGGAAGCTCATGTAGTCTTACAATACAGAGCCATCTGGTACTGTGTATGTACTGGTGGCCAGAGAGAGTTCATAGTAGTTCAAGCTACTAGACATCATTATTACAAAAGAAACAATCACACAGATGGCCAACTCAGGACTACACAAAATTCTGTTTTGGTGAAGTCAAAATTGACTAGGTTTTACACTGGTAATACGGTGGGATATAGTATTTTACCCCAAAACTTTCAGAGAAATAAAAGAACAAAAGGTTTTAAATGGGTGTTATATTAATGTTTACAAATTTTCTTCAAACAAAATATAGAAATTGAGACCACTGACTTCAGGAATGTCTCAGTATTGAAGCAGAGCTCCAATCTTGCCCTATTTTCAAAATAGGCAGTTCTTAAAGGCACCAATACCTTAAAGATATTGGTAGGACCTCAGTTTGTAATTCTGTTGCCATGTTGTGTGAAGGATGATGCTCTAATGATCTGAGGATTGTATGACCTTCCATGTGAAATAAGCGGAGTACCCAGGAGAAGAGTTCACCAGTCAAGTGAACAACCCCTGAAATGAAAGAGTTGATTACACCTCTCAATTTGCAATCAAGACCTGCATTGGGAAGCTCCTAAATTTATCATATCCCTTGCCCTCTAATGATATAAAATAAGGGACTACATTTAGCACTGATGACATTTTATTAGTTGAATATAGGAATTTTCTTTGTTCCAACAATCTCTTTCTTGACTCAGATTATATTTTCATAAGACTGAAATGTTACTCACTACTTTTCACCTTGCTCGTCTTATTAATTTTTCAGATTTTAATTTAAATATATTCTCAGTGAGTCCTTTCCTGTTCCCCAATTAAATCAGATCTTTCTCTTAGATTCTGACAATACCTTGTACTGTATAATAGCATGTCACAAATAAATTTAATTGTATAATTATTTATTTACTACATATAATCTCTAACAGATTATAATCTTCAGGAGGTCAGTGTTTTCACTGTATGCCCAACAATTGGCACAGTGTCTGGCAAATGGTAGATACTCAATAAACATTTGTTGAGTCAATAAAATATAATATCCAAAAAACAAATGGCAAATGACTCACCAGTGACATGGATGTGATAATTTTTAGTAGATCTATTGGAAGTTGTGGGAACTTCTGAAAATTCTTCGGTTGTGCTGGTGAAGTTATCATCTAGGGACACAAAAGGAATTATCTAAACAGATTTTAATAGCCATCTCAATCTGATCAAATGGTGTAAAATTATGGTTTGGTTTCACTTGCTATAAGGAAGAACTCAATTTGAATAGCTTAAATGATCCTAAAATTTTATGTGTTAAGTTTACTAAGGGTCAATTTACAGCAAGGTTAGGATCCTAGGATCTAACAGCTGCCAAAGTAGTGAAACTTCCTACTGGTTTAAAGAAAGAAAAGAAAAAAAAGAGAGAAATTGTACATCACACACAATAATCTGGTATCTGCTAAAGAATCTTCATAAAAATTTTAAGTAATTATGGAAAAATATCTTAAATATCATGAAAAAATATCATGAAAAGATGAAGTCTATCCTTATTCTCTCAGGATATCAGAAGTCCAAGAAATCAAAATACGATTCTCTCCATTCTAATGAATTTGTAAAGGTCAATAAAAATTCCTTTGCAACATTCAAGTAGACAAATCCATATTGACAAATCATTTCATTTTCCAATGGAAAAATAAAACAAAATAAATTTTTAATAAATTTAATTGGTTAAGAAAGCTCTTATGTAGATTTAATTTTGAAATAAAAGAGAGAAAAATCTAAGACTTGGTCTCTGATAGTCTTCTTTCAGTGACTGGAAAAAATTTTGGTTCTATTCATTATTATTGTCATTATCACTATCATTTTCATTACAAGATATACTTTTAAGTACCTATCTGAGATTGGGTTCCTATCAATCCTTTCTTTTTAATCTCTGCCCAGATAAAGCAAACTACAACTTTCCCTGATCCTAAACCTTCTCGACTTACTCACCATGAAGTGTCCAGCCTGCACTTGAGGGGAATGAACTATATGTTTCACTGGGTATCCATGAAGCTGCCGAAGGAAGAACATATTGGAAGAATCAATCTGTATAAGACTCATTATTTTCTCTACTTGACCTTTAATTGAATCTAATAATTATGAAAAAAGGATATTAATTTACATTTAAAGCAACATTATTGAACTATTCTGCACAACACATTAGAAATTCCCCAAGTAATGTGGGAGTTGAGGTAATGCTTGCAGTTCTGATGTCTCTAATAGGGAAGGTTTGGATTATAGCCACTTAGGAGAAGGAAGAAGAAATGAGAGGAAAATATTGGGAGAGGTTCTTCCAGCCACAGAGAGTGTGTTGTGACTGTTCTCATGTCCATCCCATAGATGAGCTAAAAGAATAGGAGAGAAAGAAAGCCCAGGTGTGTTATGATGGCCTTTACTCAAGAAAAGGTGCCAATAGGAATTTGAAGACCTTGGTTGAACACACAAGAGAACAAAATAGTTTGTATTTGTGAGTAAGCTGATATTCTTATTCAACTGTGAAAATTGAACTGTGTCAACAGTCAATTATTAGACCCCTATGATCACAGGCCTGTTAGCTGCTAGGTGTGTCCTTTTGATGAATTCAGAGGCAAACCTTCCCCTTGAATGGATGGCAGGAAACTCAGACAACACATATGGCTTTTGAAATAGATCTATTAACTCATTTTGTTTGGCTCCCCATCTCTGGCAAGAAAAATTCACTTCTTGGCAAACTCTCCATATGTGTGTTTGATAACAGGCCAATAATGTGATGTAAAGTAAAATGACTATAGTGGTACATGAGTAGGATACTCATTTATTTAAAACATTAGCATATATTATTTTACAAGTTAAATGTTACTTGTGTCCAGACCAAAGCAAATAAGCAAAACCAAAATAAAATAAATTAAAATAACAGAACAAACATTCAAAAAACCCTTAACCTTTCTCTTTTATGGCTTTTCCCTGAATGCCAGTGACAGTGCAGCTGCAGACATAGGTATGTTGTTAGGTCCTTCAGAGGAGGTATACGTCAGTGCTTTCTAGGGATTTGTCAGCGGACAGCCTGTCACAGCAACTTCCATGTAAAGGTGGTGTTGTATACAGCTATTTTGAGCTTGACTAGGCCAGAGAGATATTCTTATCTTCAATATGATTCTCTGACTCTGCACCTGTGATCTTGACTTTTTTTCTAGACAGAATACCATGATCTACAGATAATGATAGACTGGGCATTTTTGATGCCCATTTTTAATGGTTAAGCCATTAAGTCAGTAATTTGATTAACAAAGAGCAACAACTATAAAAATAAATTAGGATTAGGCCTGGATTTAGGCAAAATTATGATGAAGGCAGTTTGTTTAGTTTTAGTTTTGTTTTGTATTTTTGCCCAATATTGTGTCTCCATTACTTTCTACTTATAGGACTTTATGTCTTTATAGCTTATGTGTTTAAATTCAGTTCGTAAGAAAGTATGTAATAAATTAACTCATACTAAAATATAAATGATTGATCAAGTGTAATCCCTTTGAGAAAAACGGGTATTTAAGAAAAGATTTTCTATTCCAAGTTTATTATCAACAGGTCAATGGAGAACATTTTGTAATGATCAGTTACATGTGGACACCAAAAGGTTGTTTTGTTGTTTTCTTTTTTTGCCAGATACAGAATATTGTTCTTTTCTGGTCAATATTGATTTGGTCCAAATGCAGCAACCAAACATAACACAATTTCAAGAGATGGTGATATCATCAGCATGGTCCATCCGAATTACAAAAATGGCAATACTGCCCTGGTCGGTTTGGCTCAGTGGTTAGAGCGTTGGCCTGCGGTCTGAAGAGACGCGGTTCTGTTCCGGCTGAGGGCACGTACCTCGGATGCAGTTTGTCCCCGGCCCTGGTTGGGCCGTGTGGGTGGCGGCCACTCAATGTGTCCCTTTCATGTCGATGTTTCTCTCTCTCTCTCTCTCTCTCTCTCTCTCTTTTTCTCTCTCTCTCCCTCCCAGTCTATCTGAACAAAATATCAAAAAATGTCCTTGGGTGAGGATAAAAAAAAAAAAATGGCAATACTTGAAATTATGCAAATTACTTGACCATTTTATAAAGCTTCTTCTTACACTTCTAGAAATTTTTCAAGTGTAAAAGAACACCCAAAAAATGTGTTATAGAATTAAACTACAAAACTTACTTTGGAAGAGTAGAGAGTTATTTTTCTAAGTTTGGCTTTAAGATTTTATTTTAACTTAGTTTAAAAAATACAGTGGGGAGTGTATTGAGAGAGGTAAAGAAGAGAGGTTCTAGTTGATGAATTCAACCTGTCTGAAAATACTTAGTAGTAATGAAAAAGAAAAACTTCAGGATCAATAATATATTATAAATAAAAATCTTTCAGCAAGAGGAAGAGATGAATAATTCTTGCATCAATTGCTCCCATAGGAGAGAGGTCTTCCTGAAGAATGCTTGTTTATGGAATCCTCAGTAAGATAGTTCGCTACGTCCAATGATTCATCTTTCACTAATTCAATGTTTTTCTAAAAGCGCCTGCATTCTATCCATTAGATATTCATTTTTTAGAATGTGTTCCAGGTGGACCACTCCATCCACCATTTTTAATATCCCTGAGAGTCATAGAAGAATAGTATTGCTATTCTCTTTTAATTTATTGAAATATTCTGTTTTCTTCGGCATTGTCATGTTTGTTAAAGGCAAGAGTCAAATCTCTTTACAGCTTTTGAACACCCGTTTTCATCAAAATCCACAAATGAACATGACTTTGACATTTGGTTGGTAAACACTAGCTTGATGGATAGCCTGCTTTAGTACATCAATAGTATCAGCTAAAAACATAAACATGAAGCTACTGTGTCGATGAAATTTCCTAAATAAATTTTGATATCCTTTCTTTAGCATAACCTTGGTTTCTTCCACAATTTTTAAAAATTTTACTTTTGGTAAAACTTGTTCAATAAGGAAACTATGGTAATGGTAATACCATTCTACCATAAAAGTGTACTTCTCTTCGGTGGTACAACAGGATCAACTTCAATAGCATAGTATTTTTAATTTAGTTGCAATAACATTTTAGACATCCATCTGTTACCAGCTTACAGTTGTCAATAATGTTATGACATGGTAGGCACCTTTTCCCTTTGTAGAAAAATCTGCTTAATGTCATATCAAATAGAAGTTAAGCAGCTGATTATCTGAAGTTTAGCAGCTCGTTTTTTGATGAAACTACAGATAACTTATTACTTTTGTAGGGTTCTTGTGACAAACTGAACTTCTCTGAAATTCTGGAGTCATTTTTACATGTCCAAACATTTTGTTGTTGTTATCCAGTTTTCCATAAGGCACTCTGAGTTCTTCAGTCCTTAATTTTGTCCTAAAACAATGGCATAAGTGGCAAGCAATAACCAGAGATACAGGCAGGGCTTAGATACTCTCAATGATCTGGTCTTCTGTTCCATATTCCTCTTAAGGGTGAATATACATTCAGCTAGCACCATCTCTTCCACCAGAATATACGTGCTAGAACTATCTATAGTATCTACTCTTGCTGTGACCACAGAGCCCAAAGATGGGACCCTCATACTCTTTCTGACTATGAAAAGAAGATGACATTCGTGAGCTTTCAAAGTGTGAGGTTTATGTGCTCGCTGTGGAGAAGCCACCAGAAAATGGTTATTTAACAAACAATAAAATTTTAAATCAGAGAAATAACTCTTTAATTTGAGATTGATCTAATGAGAAACTAGATTACAGAATGGAAAAACAACATTTTAGAGAAGAGGGAATGGAATGAGATGTAATCTGAGATATATCAGATTTTAGAATTTGAGAACAAGAGTGGCGACTTTAGAGAACCAGCATCCCAGCCAACAGGGAACAGAGGGACTGAAGATGATCACAGAGACTGAAATAGGAATAGGCCCCAGCATTGCTTTGAACTCTCTCATTGTTATGTCCCTGCCACTGACCCTCAACCCCTCAACTCTAGCCTCTCCATCACCCTCTTCCAATGAGAAATAGAAAGGGTTGTTATAAAATTATTAGGCACAGCCCTGGCCGGTTTGGCTCAGTGGTTAGAGCGTCGGCCTGCGGTCTGGAGAGACCCGGGTTCAGTTCCCGCTAGGGGCACGTACTTCGGTTGCAGTTTGTCCCCGGCCCTGGTTGGTCGTGCGGGTGGCGGCCACTCAATGTGTCCCTTTCACATCGATGTTTCTCTCTCTCTCTCTCCCTCCCACTCTATCTGTACAAAAAATGAAAAAATGTCCTCGGGTGAGGATTAAAAAAAAATAAATAAATTATTAGGCACAGCTACCAAAAGCCAAAGAAGAACCAGACAGAACAATGGACAAGATAAGCAAAGCTTCTTTAAGATTTAAGAAAATTACATAAATTTTGAAGGATAAGGAATGCATAGTTAAACAATAGAATAAAGACCCCATGTGAGGTCAGTAAGAGATACTCTGAGGCTCAGGTGTGTGTCTGTGTCTGTGTATGTGTGTGTGTGTGTCTGTGTGTGTATGTGTGTGTGTGTGTGTGTGTGTGTGTGTGTTGATAGTGAGCTTGCTGATTTTGGTAATGGAACAAGTTGGAGGCATAGGGGCCCATGGTGATCCATATAGTTTTTCTGCTTGTCTAACTTAGACAGACTGGCTGATTTAAACATGGCTTTTACTTCCCGTGGACCAGATGGATATCAGGAAAAACCAAAAAGAAAAAAGTAATTAAGCTTCAATTTTCTGCTCTGTGGCCTGATCATCTGAGTGTCAGAATGAAAATATGTCCTCGGATATTATTAATCTTATAAATTTTGGAGCATTTAGTTGGTCAGATTTAGTATCCCCATTTCATAGATGGTTAAAGTAAAATAAACATTTCTATTTCAGATAGAGGAAACTTGGAAGCTGGATCAAGATGAGACTTCAATATTCTTGAATCCCAGCTTAGACTTCTTCAAGTTGATAAACAAAATGACAACAAAAGAATACATTAAAACATACATTTATAAATTTAGTGTAAATGCAATGAACT